TTTGAAACGCAGCTCTTATCGCCAATTTTTACCAGGTTTTGTATGTATTTCCGACTGAAAATGACTCATTTTTGAGTCAAAACGTCTCGATGTTTTATTGATTGTGTATTTCAGCCTTGTTTCCTATTTTTCCCCCTTGTTTTTCAACTGTAGAAGGACTTATTCTATTTGGGCGTTGTATGTATTCATAAGTAAATTTTTAAGAGAAAAAAGGAGGTAGAGGAAAAGGCTTTTTCGTTTTTCTTTGTACAGCGGACATACATAAAGATCGACTGCCAAGTGAGAATTTAGACAAGATGTACAAGAAGGGCGATCATATTAGGTTATCCACAAGCGATGGATTTATGTGCCCGATTCTAAAAATCTGTTGAGTACTACTTGCTAAAAAAGAATCAGACCTCAAATTGAAAAACAGAAAGAGAAAATTTGACACAGCCGTAGATCGAAAAGACGTAATCGAACTCATTTTTTAACTGCTCTCCCGAAATATTAACAGCAAAGAGCGGAGCATTGCCATTTCACGCCTCGCGCCAAAGCGCCTTCAATTTTGCAGAAGCAACACGGACATCTATCAAGCACGAATAGTTGTATCTCTGCGCCGTTATCAACGACCTTTCCTTCCCTGTATTTCCACGTTGTGTCGGCTCTGTTTTTCTTGGTTGTAGTGGTACTTCAAAAATTACGTGCGCAACACAGCCGAAGGTATGACAGACATAATCGGGCCTCGTTTTTCAACTCTTCTTCCGAATCGGAGCGACACCTCAAGTCTGGAACACACGTGAATGACCTGCTTCTCTTCAGCCAAGATTTTCAACAGATTCTTGTACTTTTTCAAAAACCGGAAAAAGGCATCGCAGCGGCAGTTACAATTCATACAACTTAGCGACATTGCATCCTCTCCATTCAATCACATTATAAATCATCTATTCTAGGTGAGGTTAATAAATCTCGAGGTTGAGGTTCTTCCCTATACTTTCAAATGGACGTATTTCTGCCAAACAGAACTATGTGCATTGAGACATGATCCCTGATACCCATAAGAATATGTGCATAACAGGGCTCACGTCATAATGCACATAGCTCTGTTTGATATAAATACGTCCAAATTTACAAACCCAGTATGATAACTTGCCAGAATCACCACGGAACGAAATGGTAGTGACGTCATTACGCGATTTGACCAAGGGAGTTTTATTGCCCTGATTCGCATTCATGTTCGTTGAGACTCATAACGTAATGAAGCTGTATCCCCCATCGGCATATTTATACAGTGCTGCCAATTTGTGTCGCGATACTGTCGTTCTCAGTTCTGCTCGAATTATTCCTAGAACTCTCATAGATTTGGCAGCGGTGGTTCAAACCCTGGCATCGGTCGCGGCGAGGCAGAGAGCACACAAAAGACCGGCCCCCGTCTCCGACCTGGCTGCAAACCGCAATACAGGAACAAAGCCTCACCGACAGCGACAGAGCGTAGAGGCGAGGCTGCGGAATGGGGAGCTGGGGAAGGTGGAAAAAGTTTCAAAGCTGTCGCACATGATCCGGTCTCATCAAATGAGCAACGCCATCCTCTCGTCAAGAGAAAATCCCCAGGTGTAGACCCGTGCTTTTACGCGGGGCGATCCAATGATCCAAAGCAGTGGCGATTTTGTAAGTTGGCAACACTGTTTTTCATCCATTTAAATCCTTTAACAAGGATAACATCCTTGAGGAGGACATCCTTTAAGAAAACAATATATTTCCTACGTACTCTTCAGGAGGTGAAGTGTAAAGCATCTTGGAAAAAATGTCGGTAAAAATGCAGGGGAAAAAAATATATTTCCTACACGTACTTTTCAGGAGGTGAAGTTGTGAAGCATCTCGGAAAAAATGTCGCGGAAGAACTAAGTCCCATTACTAAGCCCATAGAATACGCTCCTGCAGTCTGGCGGTACAAAATTGGATCACCCTGTATGTTATGTCATGATAATATGACAACAGTGCGAGCTGGACCTTTCTCGGGCATTGATTGGCATTAGATTTGTCATGGTCGAAAGCTCGGATGTTGTATTTTTTATTCAATGTTTTGGAAGCTAAACTGCAAAACAAATGTTTTTTCCCCCGAACTTCACTGTAGAGGTAACTTAATACCTGAGTCCTGAGTGCTAGAATCTCGGGTTCCGCGATGGAGCATTATGGCCGAAATTTCCCGGCCGAAGGAACGTGACTGTAATTGCTCGTTGCAAAGTTGGACGTATTCATGGTAAAAGGAACTAGGTCTCACGCCAACCCTATGCTTATAGTTCCTGTTAGTATAAATACGTCCAATTGACTCTCACAATACAAATTTTTACAGAAATATGACTGTGCTTTGTTAGCCTAAAATGTTGGATTCTTGCGTGTAGGTAATCGAAAAGAATTAGTGGAATTTCCGGTTAGAAACTTCCGGCGGTTACGCGGTAAAAACCCGATTTGTGAATGGAAATGTTGCAACGTTGAAATTCAGTTGCGTTCGTCTGTCTGATAAATGACAAATTATCGACGGACTAAATAGTTTCACAACTAAAATTTACGGTAAAAAAATACCCCTGAATTTAAGTCACATGGCACAAGTAGTGATCTGTTATAAATATACGGTGTAATTCCTAACTTGAAAGTTAAATTTGGAAATTGCCAATATGTTCATCGTCCCTTGAGGGAAAATTTGATAAATGAACGTGTATGTTGCTATGATTGGACTCCGACGTTATCTAGTGGCGAGACACAACTACAGACCTCTGGGCGAGGAATAGATGATGCGACGCGACGCTCCTCCGAAAGTTCCTTCAATTGGACGATTAGGCAATTTGAGCTCCGGAGCGTTAATATAGTTGTATCAGATGTTCTGTCAACGTACCACTTCGTATAAGACTTAATCTGCAGCAGAATGCCTCTCGACTAAAACCGTAGAATTGTTTTTTCATTGCATTTGTTCAATAATTTCCATTCTTAACTCCATTTTTTAGGGTAATATTACGGGACAGATATTGCGAAAAATTAGGAGAATATTTTTGAAAAGCGACGCACGCCTTCTTGATAATCAATTGCCTTTTAGAATAGTGAAAATATATTAAAATTCTGCATGGTCTCAAATCAAGAGACAGAATTGTATGTATTTCAATCAATTTTTGTTCTTTTTTAACGTTCCTTCGTAATTTTTTCTCATTATTTTAATCACGCATCTTAAATCGAATAGAAGATAGAATTGAAGAATCATCCTTTGGGAAAATAAAAAACGGACATTTTAGAACATCTGATTCATATCTGCGGACCTTTTTTTATGTTTGTTTTCTAATTAGTATCGACGTGTGCACTGAAGTTGGGATTTTAAATAATACAAGAGCAGGTGTTTCTCATCTATAAAAACATTTCAAATGAGAACAGAGTATGTCTCACCTTTCAAATTACAGGGCTCCGGAATGAGCTTACCCCGATCACTTTCGATCGAACAAACTCCACCGTAACTTTTGAAAAACAAAATGAAAGGATTATAAACAACGGTATTAAATGATTTGCGTCGCTGTAGCTGTTTTTAAATTCTCTCTTCCCTGCGTTTTTGTGACACATCTACTCATGGACCCCAGAATGAAAAATCTGTCGGGGGAATAAATGGTTGTTTCAACTCAAAGCTTCAAATTGAGAGGAATTCATTGAATATCTATGTTAAAACTCTTTTAAACTGGGCCATCGGCGGAATGTGTGTTGAGAGCATTTCCAATTTAACTCAGGTACGTGGTTCGCGTGCACTCCTAGTTTCCGCGCGCAGTAAATTATTCGGCTCTCACAATCCTTTGATGTTCAGAGCCTAAAAAAGGCTCTAGTCGTCTGTGCCAGTAATTGGTCAAATTGAAATGTAATTATGATCGCGTAGCTTTACACAATCACTAGTTTAGCATTTCTTTTCAATAAACCAACGCAACTTTAGAACTTTTCAGGAAAAATGTTCAGAAATTAATTTTGTTGACCGATGGAATAGACTTTTTATTGGTTTGACAAATTTTACGCGTCTCATAAAAAATATACATATAATAAACGCAGCATGGCTCTTATTATCCTCTGTTCAGTTCACCGTTAATTACGGTTTAGCACTAAATTACAATAGTATATTTTCTTTGGAGTATACACCAAAAGATTCCTTTAGTTAGGAGCAATGAACGTAGAACGTTTTACACCATATAAAACAGTTAACAAATCAGCAAATGACAATGAAGTAGTTTGGGAGATCGCTGTTATTTTGGAGTCCCACTTCTTTTCAAAAACTGGACAAATTTTTCAAAATCCACCAAACTTATCTCCCTTATCTTGAAATCCGTCATCGGCTTAACCAGAACAGGGGCACCTTTCTGCAGAGGGGCAGAGGGGCTCTAAAAGTTACGGTAATACTAAGTAAGTGCCTCATTACAAAATGAGACAGACAAAGTTTTTCAAATGCAATACCTCTTAATCCCAACAACGTTGTCTTAAAAAAAAGGAGCATCGTGTTATGGAAATATCTACCGGAAACAGTCGAAATTTCAGGTTGCATCAGCTGATCGCCGGAAACACACTCTGATTGAGTGCGTAAGTTCCAGCGTCGAGTAAATATCGACCGCAAATATTCAGCATTTCTGGTCGCATCAGCTGATCGTCGGAAACACTCTTTGATTTCGCGCGAAAGTTACAGCATTTCTTTCTTCATGAGATGATCTCTCACCCAGTGGGGGTTTCCATTTGAGATTCGAAAATTGCCCTCCACCCCGTCTTCCGGAGAGTAGATGGTAACAACCCTCCAAACCGCATGCCAATATTTGTAACCGTTCTCGAGATATTAAGAAGTATCCATAATTTTCGCTCATCCTGTATAAAAATATGCTCAAAAAGTCCTCCTTGTTACACGATCCTTTCCTGTGAAAATAATTCGAAGAGAAAATATTGAAACTAGCTCAATGAAGTATGATCAAAATGTACGGCCATATTTTTAAACACGACGAGAGAAGTTTACTTACTCTGAGTGAAGTAAATTAGCACCAGGGAGCAGTATTTTAGCACTTCCATTCAGACACCTGGAACACGAACAAAACAAAAAATATAAATCAATTTTTCCCAAAATATAATCATACCTATGTACTTTGCTAATTCACCAGGACTTTACTTTTGGGGCCATCTGTTTTTGAAAGTAGCACCTTTAAGTAACGTGCTCCTCATGAGTAACGCCCCTACTTTCTTAAAATCTGATTTTGTATTGAAGTTCTCTAATAGAATACATAACGCTCTATGGGGGAGAGCCTGCGTTACGGATGTGTTGATTTGAGCAGTTTTTGGAGAGGGAGTGAGGAAGAGAACATAGCCATGAAAGTCTCCAAGCGCAGTTAAACATATAAATTTTCGTGAAAAAATTGACCCGAAGATGGTGTCCATCTATCAACATTGGAACCGAATGAATGCCAAAATCATCAGAGCTCTTTCATTCTTCGAAAAATTCTCTCGCATAGAAATATGGGTTTCGACGCTAAGACAACCAGCGTTACATGTACTGCTAGCTGCAATTCGGTGTAAACCTTCAAAACAATAGGGGAAAGATTGACGACTCGTCTCAACCTAATGGACGTGAGTTCAATTTTCAACACAATCAAGCGAGCAGCTTATATTGTTCTTCACACGGCTTATCTGTTGGAAACACACACCTCCGTGGTTTTCGCCGTCCACAACGAGGGGAAAATTTCACGCCGCGGGAGAAAGGGAAACGCGAGGATAATTTTAACCGTTTGACAACCCTGCGCCAGGTTGAAAGATTTTCCAAACACACTTGACTTTTATTTAACCCACCCCCATGAGACCACTCTCACACGGGACAAAGCGAGAGAAAAGCCCTCAGAGAGAGACAGAGGGGAGGGGGTCTGAGCGAGCTAATATGCCATTGTTCTCTCGGGCTTAATGGAGGTGTCTTGAGGTTTAAAGACGCAGGGCCTGTGGAACACTATGCGCCATTTTACGGCATTAAATTATGCCTGATGGAGTTGCGTGTAGACGTAAGTCGGGGACTAAAATTTTTGTAAAATTTTCAAAAATGTGAAAATTTTCACAAAAATCGAAAATCCTCGAATGGTCAAAAGTATCATTTATTTTTATTGTATATTTATTTTGAATACCTATATTTATTTATTGTTTAACTCATAGTTTTAATTCGATTTACAGCGGGCTTAAACTCTACGAATTCGCACGGATGAGTTTTAACAAGGAAACATTTCTTGAAATTTTACATCTCTGGTTTCCGTATCGTAGCCGAGAAACTGTTTTGGTTAGGAGGAGTTGAAGAGCAAGGGAGCGTGTATAATGACGCGTTGAACCCAATTGGGAGGCATACACCGCTGATATAATGGCAGCTTAGTAATATCGAGGGGTAGATTCGATAATTTGACCTCTCGCTCCCCCCCCTCCCCCCGGTCCTCGAGCTTCGTGGCGACGCCGATGGGATGAGCTAGCGCAGCCGAGAGGAAATAACTCAATGAAACGCCCCAACGACGATGGAAAAATTTAACGCCAGCTGAACAGATAAGTTCATAGTGTTTGTTCACCGCCGGAAATTTAGATTTGTTCGCCGTGATAGAAATAAAAATTCCGCCACCTTCATGACGCCGGGAAATAAAAGTGAAATATCGCTGGAAAATATTCCTGTTTGTTGCGTTTCACAGGAATAACACATGCGTCAGAACGCGATGAAATCATTCTTGAATGGGCTTGGATCATAGATAGTGTGATCTTCGATGAGGCTCTTCAATCTTAAAATTAATCGACCGAACATGATGTACTATCACGATGATATTCAAAACATTCGCATAAGTTCCTATACGTCGAATTTTAGGTTGAATGGAGTATTTTCATGGGGAGGGAAATGTAATACCATTCCATCCTTTCAGCTCTAAGTTTTATAGGTTTTTAAGGTTAGAGGTCAACGTAAACAGATAAGATGAAGACAAAGTTAAGAGGAAAATTTCATTTCCAATAATATGAGCTCTGAACAAACGTTAATGCATATTTTTACCGAGAATCTCACTTCTTCTCCGAGTATCATTCATTAAATCACCTTTATTAATCAACCATTCGTTTCTTCCTTAAAAGTAAAATTTTCTCAGGATCAGCTTGTTTACATTGGGCTCTACGAGCCTTCGAAAATGCTTAAAACTGCCTAAGCTCTCCTCATGCAAGTAGATTCAGTCTAATAAAAACCTTCAATAATGAGTTATCTAATATGAACAAGGCTTTAGACTCCAAAACGATTGAAATCATGCCTTAATTTTTATTCACATTCGAAAATGTAAATCAGGAAATGAAATACGGATGGAAAAAAGAATTAGGATAATTAGCATCTATGATAAACATGTTTACAAGTGCTTTTATATGGTCGAAATGCATCCCAAAGCATCTCGTTCTCACTCTAAATAATGCTCTAATATATCTTCATTTCTATTTTCATAATCAAAACGGCCAGCGTGCCCGAGCTGATGCTTCACTTTGATTTATCGCATAATTTTCAATCATAAATTCGCAAATGAGCCAATACCGGGACACACCGGACTTATTGTGTTATCAGTTCAATTGGTACAGTCACAATGCTAGCAGAGGCGCTCATAGTTTCACTGGATGGCAAATTGATTTCTCTACTCCCACCGGAGAGGGAGAGAGAGAGAGTAAAGAGGAAGAGGGGTGTGTTGCGAGCTGATCTAATTCCGTAAACCCATATTATTGACTCTCATTCTAGTAAGATTATCAATAATGCCGGATAGAATAGAGCTTTCTCATTTATCTGAATGAGGCCAAATTGAATAAGCGTAAAAGCTGTATGGGGTCAGGTTTTTGTTTTGGAAAATGTCACGCTCATATGCGGGACACAGTTGTATGATTTCCAATTTTAGTGAGCGCTGCATCAGGCATTAGTACCGATTGACGTGATCGAGACAGCGGATGGAATAATTATCATTAAACGGATTGAGGATTGAGTTTTAAAATTAAAAGTCCTCAGCCATTTCCTTTTCATCTATATCCGTTTCTAAAAAGGACGAGCAACAGGAATCCCTTATTGCAAAATAGATTCCAGTCGGTCCATGTCGTACCGAACTCGCCTATCACTTGATGAGCCTAAGACTATAACTATTCTCATGTAATTCAGTCGATTCTGCAATCGTTATTGAACGACCTTGATTGTATCTGTATTTCAGGAATACTATACAGTGTGAGCCGCAAGTCCCACACCTATCCTATAGCCCCTTGAGTTCTTGCCTCCCTCCAGGGTGGTGACTTTGAAATATTGAGGTGTCCCAAAAGTCGTTTCTTTTGACCCAGAAGCACGCAACAAAAATGTTAACTCCCTATCGTGCAAAAATCTTAAAGTGCACAAAAGTTACAGGGATGATACCAGGTGCTAGTGGTGCGGGACTTTTGGATCAACCTGTATATCGATCAAGGTCTGCCGATAACGATTTAACAATCAATTCGCGTGGGGATCATTAGATATTGGACTTGTTCAGATCAAATATCGAAAGATCTGTGTGATTTTCTCGAAAATCTATGCTGGAAGAAAATGCGCGAGGCACATGCTGGTCAGAGGATGATTTAAGGCTGTGTCCGGATCAAAAATAGTGTACTTAAAAAGACTACATTTGAAGTATTCGACCGGATACGTGATACTCGTAGGGTTGCACGAAGACGAAATAAAAAGTATCGTTGGTTTAAAAGTGGTTTGGATGGTCCAACAGCTTTTGCCTTGAGGAAACTTGAGGAAGCTCGCTGGTCGTCGGCGGGGATTTTGTTGGCGAGAAAAAATTGAATTTAGTGGAAAGTTAGCCGAGAAGCTGAAACTAGAGCTGGAGGCCGACGAGGAGAGAGATGCGGTCGGAGCAAGCAAAATTTGATGACTTGAAAATGTATGGACACTGCACCGTTGCCACTGGTTCAGGTATCTAAGTCGGTCTATAAAGCAAATTAATCCTCTATGGCATACCGTTACGAATTCGTGACAACGTATTTTTGGGGGTTTTCAAAAATCGAATCTTGCCATGATTTTGAAAAATTTCGTTACTTTCTTCTTTTTTTGAAAAATTGATTCCCTCAAATTTAAAATTTTGAACGTAAATTTGGTACTCTTTTATGCAAGCTACAAAGAAAATTGGTGTCCCCTAGACTCTGAGATCCAAAATTAATTCATGCCATAGAGGGTTAAAGAATTATGATTATTTTCTTTAACTCATTTTTCTCAAATGAGGAAAAAATGAGATAAAATAAAGCAAGAAAAAAAGGGAAGGGAGCCTGAGGTATGCTTCTCATTTTTTATTTAGACATTACTAAATATTCGGGGCTTTTTTCCCGAAAAATCCATAAAAAAAAAATAAAAAAATCATCATATTTTGATTCATTTTCATCGCGCTACATATTTTACATTCGCTTAGTACCAAGGGGTGTCATTTTGAGGGTGTCTAGGCCAGCTTTATCAGGGGCGGGTTGATGCCAGAAATCGGAAAAATCGTGTTACGCGCTTTATGGACAGCTCCTCAGACCTAAGAGCAACTCGAAAACGTTCTGAGGGGTGGGGTGTGATCTCAAGATTTTCAGGAGGAAATCAATCAAAGGATTCTGGTCAAGTGGGGGCTCCCACGTCAAGGGATTTCGAGGGAGCATCTTGAGGTGAGGATTTATTTGTTTATTTTGGTTCTGAAGTCCAACTAAATGGACTGCATTTCGCGGATTGGAACTGCAATATTTGGTTTAGTTCAGAAAAGACGGACGTACCATTAGCTAAATTACGTAACGCTCCCAGGCGTGAAATGGGAGTCTTTTCCAGCGTTACACGGCGTTACAGGGGGGGAGGTACAGAACGAAGCGTCATGGAACAAGTTTAGTGATTTTATTCGAGTTTCTGTAGAATTTTTCGTCGGTCATCTTTAAAAGTTTTAAAGAATCTCGAAAATATTCTCCGCGATACTTTCACTTTCCCTCACTACATAGAAACGCCAATCCGTTCAGTAAATGTATGATGATATTTATGGATTATTTTTTATCGCAATGGGAA